CGCAAAGCCTCCTTCAAAGTCCGAGTAGGTAAGGTTTCCTTGTTGTTGGAGAAAAGAAGAAAACATGGCCACTCCCTCCTCCGTCTATGCTTTTCACAAAAACGTTCTCAGCTTCGTTCGGTTTACGTAAGGCTCTATGCAAACGTTTCTTAAACTACGGCCCCGTTTAGTTTAAGGCAAAAACCAAAATTTTTGCAGTATGCAAACATCTCTGAGGACTTAAGCAGCTATAATTAATTTTCACAAATAAAACCGGTCAAGAATTAGAAAAAAAAAACCAAACTGTCGGTCAAAAAAAAAACCAAACTGTCTGCTTTGCTTTTTTATTCTTTATTATAAGCATAATTAGTACGACCTCTCATCGTACAAAGACATTTTTTACAGTGGCCGAACTGACATGTGGGTCCCCTTGTGTTCGTGTGGTCCTGGTCCATGCGAGAACCTCCCTACCAGCAGACATTCCTCGCCCGCGTTTTCTACTCCTCGGCCTCCACTTCTCTTCTGTTCCGTTCCGGACTTGAGCCGGCCTTGTTTAAACGCCCTCTGCTCCATTTCATAGCCCCCGGCTGGCGTCCGCACCCGCAACAGCCGTCACGCACTTCACTCCAGCACCCCCCTCCTCCTCTGCCTGCGTCGCAGCCAGTGGCTCAGCGTCTGCGCTCGTCATCCGTGCTCCCGTGCCTGTCTCGTCTTGTCCTCACTCTCTCATCAGTCTCTCTCACTCCTCCCCTCTCCGGCTCTCTTTCTCTTTCTCCACCTCTGACGTCTGACCTCTCCTCCCCAACGGTGAGCCCCCGGCCGTGCAGCCCATCCACGCATTGCCGTTGCGAGCGCGGACACCGAGGCTAGAAGTGGCGGCGGTGCCAGGGCTCGGCGCTCGGTCGGCAATGGCGGGGCGGCTTCTGCTGGCGCTTCCTATCCTCCTCTTCTTATTGCTCGTCGGTGAGTTGCAAGTAGCTTGTCTTTCTTGAATATTACGACCCTTCAGCTTCAGTTGCGCACTTGTTAGTGTTGTTAGCAATGCGCGGACGGCGAGATGCCTTGCGTGCTCGAGGAAAAAGACACGAATCGATTCTTCTTGCTCTTTGGTCTTGATGTTTTGCTGCGTGTTCTTGAGCATTTTTAGTGGGAATGTTCTATTTCATTGCTCCCCTTTTTTGAATCTATATCCCTGCACCATATTCGTTTCTTTCCATCGAAAACCCAGAACCGAAGATTTATCGCTGTATTTACAAAAAAAAAAAAAGATCTTTTAGTGCCCAATCACTGCATTTGCTCTGTTCGCGTTGGTGGTAATCAAAACAACACATGCGCAATCGCAGGGCAATGCCACGGCGGCAAGATTGGCGTCTGCTACGGCCGCAACGCTGACGACCTGCCGGCGCCGGACAAGGTGGCGCAGCTAATCCAGCAGCAGTCCATCAAGTACGTGCGCATCTACGACACCAACATCGACGTCATCAAGGCCTTCGCCAACACCGGCGTCGAGCTCATGGTCGGCGTCCCCAACTCCGACCTCCTCGCCTTCGCGCAGTACCAGTCCAACGTCGATACATGGCTCAAGAACAGCATCCTCCCCTACTACCCGACCACTATAATCACCTACATCACCGTCGGCGCCGAGGTCACCGAGAGCCCCACCAACGTCTCCGCCCTCGTCGTGCCAGCCATGCGCAATGTGCACACCGCACTCAAGAAGGCCGGCCTGCACAAGAAGATAACCATCTCCAGCACGCACTCGCTCGGGATACTGTCTCGGTCGTTCCCGCCGTCTGCTGGGGCGTTCAACAGCAGCTACGCCTACATCTTGAAGCCTATGCTCGAGTTCCTTGTGGAGAATCAGGCGCCATTCATGGTGGATTTATACCCCTACTATGCGTACCAGAACTCACCAAGCAATGTGTCCCTCAACTACGCCCTGTTCTCGCCACAGTCTCAGGATGTGATTGACCCAAACACTGGACTGGTTTACACCAACATGTTCGATGCCCAGGTTGATTCCATATTCTTTGCGCTCATGGCTCTGAACTTCAAGACTCTGAAGATCATGATCACTGAGTCAGGGTGGCCAAACAAAGGGGCAGCCAAGGAGACTGGAGCCACTCCAGACAATGCTCAGACTTACAATACCAATTTAATACGTCATGTTGTTAATGACAGTGGCACACCGGCGAAACCAGGGGAAGAAATTGATGTCTACATATTTTCATTGTTCAATGAGAATAGGAAACCTGGCATCGAGTCGGAGAGGAACTGGGGACTGTTCTTTCCTGATAAGAGCTCTATCTACAGCCTTGATTGGACGGGCCGAGGCAATGTGGATGTTATGACTGGAGCAAACATTACAAGTGCAAATGATACCTGGTGTATTGCTTCAACTAATGCATCAGAAACAGATCTGCAGAATGCCCTCAACTGGGCATGTGGTCCAGGCAACGTAGATTGCTCTGCCATTCAACCAAGCCAACCTTGCTACCAGCCGGACACTTTAGTTTCCCATGCTTCGTATGCATTGAATAGCTACTACCAGCAAAATGGAGCCAACGTTGTGGCCTGTGACTTTGGTGGTGCGGGAATACGAACGACGAAAGATCCAAGTAAGAATCCCATCCTTGTTACTGTTATGATGATCATGATGCTATGCTTGGTTTCATTTGATAACATCCATGTGCATATAATTAGGGTATGGAGTATGTCTTTAGTTGATGTTGCAGTTATATACATAAGCTGCTCATATGGTATGATGGTTGTAGCATTTACTAGTATTCCCTCTGTTCCAAATCGTAAGACGTTTTGGCTTTTCTAAATACATTACTAGAAAGCTATGTATCTAGAAAACCAAAACATTTTACAATTTGGAATGGAGAGAGTGCCTAATTTCATATTGATGAGGTGCTATTAGGCTATGTATATATGTCTATGAGAGAACAGTAGCTTACTTGCAATTGTGAGTTTGCTTTCTCAGCTTGTGATTTCAGTTTTTCTCCATTGCATCTTGCATAGATCATTGTGGTTCTGAATACTGGCATATGTTATCAAATTTGATGGCATTCCAGTAACTCTTCAAGTGTTGAAAAGACATGTGAGTTACTGATGATGCTATAATTTTCTCACTTTCTTAACTTATTATAGTTTACTTGACACTTAGTCTTGGATTGATCAACTTCTATTCTTATCATGCATATGAAACAATGAAAATTTTGATGATAGAATGTTGCAACGATTATTTCAGTGTAGCTTATTGATTGGCATGAGAATAGATTATTGTGTGTTCCTTCAATAAGCTCTATTAATAATGCATGTTCCTTTTGCTTACCAATTTATTTAATAAGCTTCTTTGCTTTATTTATTTCTGGCTTGCAGGTTATGACACTTGTGTCTATTTGGCTGCCGGGTATGAAATACTCTCTCACTCCTTTGTATTTGAAGAAACAGTTCCAGTGACACTCCACTAACATTTTTTTTCTTCTAACTTGAAGCAATAAGATGAGCACGATGAATTCAACATCTCTTCCAGCTCGGAGCAACTCCGGTCCAGGTCCAGTTCCATGCGCCAAATGCTTGGCCACTTTGCTCCCCATGCTGGCCCCTGTGATGGCTGCAGTTATGCTGTGATCTATGGAAACGCTCCAGCTAGCCCCTTCAGATGTGAGATGAAAGGTGAATTGCAAATTGCATAATGCTGGTAGCCAGTGATGTTCTGTTTTGCCATGAGCAGTAGACTAGTAGTAGTAGTATTCTAGTAGAGAGGCATATTATGCTGTAGGAATTCTCTGGTCAGTTAAGATGTACATCGTCGCGCAGACAATATATTTCAGCTGGCATTAAGAACTTGATATCCTCTTCTGCTGTCTTTCGGTTCTCTTCTCATCCTCGCTGCATTTTGCATTATCTCGTGTTGCATCGTTCTTTTTCTGAACTACTATGGTGTGAGAATATATTGCTGCTAGCAAGTCTTGTACCACGTACCACTAGATAGTCTTTTCCGAGCATGGACCATCAATGGATTATTGGATGCGTGGATGAAAATGTTAAGGTGGGGAGTACTTTGCCAAATCCCTGTGGAGCAGCTGGACCATCATTGGATTGCAGAAAAGCTCCGGAGTCAGTTGTCAAGAGAGGTCCTGGAGTTCATTATTATGCTCTATATGCGTGTTCTGAATTCTGATGCATCCTTTTAAGCTGTATAGATGCTTTCATGCTTCTTTGTTGTCAATGCTTTTTTTTCTTCTGAAAATAGGCTAGATGTAGACTATGTAGTAGAGATGTGCACGGTAAGTTCACGAGCAGTGATGTCTCAGTGATATAAGCTTGAAGGAGTACTGAAACGGAAAAAAACCCGCCTGGTTTTTAATTAGGCTCATGATAATTGTTGAATGTTGACACGGCGATAGTTTCTAAGAAAAAAGAAGAAGCTCATTTCCCCTACTCTTCCAGAATGCATCAGAAATCAGGTAGGGAGAAAGGATGCAAGGAGGGATTAAGATTAACAAGAAGATAAACCTGGGATATCGAAAATTTTGGTCTCAGGAAGCCCAGCCCAGCCCAGTCCAGCCCAGCAGGAGCAGCAGCTTGGCGGGTGCTTTCGGCCAGGGTGGGGGGGGCATCGTGCAGAGAGGCTGGAAAGTGAGATTCTGATGGCCCGCCAGCCACTCGGGCAGTACGAGTTGAGCTGCAGGGGCCCGGCGTCCAGCGGTATCTCGCACGTCGTCCATCCCTCTGGCGCTGGCGGTGGCGCACCAAAGGAGGGGGCGAGGTTGAAGGGCGAGCTAGCGATGGAACGGGTGGTTGGGCGCGGACGCCAGCCAAGTGGTGGCGATGCAGTCCTCCGCCATGCCGCGGCCCCGCGCGCCTCTATTTATACCGCGGCCGTCCCCCGGCGGACACACCTGCGTACGTGAGCGCTAGCTCCTCCCACCAGAGACATCGATCGAGCTTCCACCGCCGGTCGTCATCTTCCTCTTGCAGGTCGCAGCTGAGCAGCAACAGGGCCGGGCAGGATGTCGTGGCAGACGTACGTCGACGAGCACCTCATGTGCGAGATTGAGGGCCACCACCTCACCTCCGCCGCCATCATCGGCCACGACGGCACCGTCTGGGCCCAGAGCACCGCATTCCCGCAGGTGAGCGCGCCTCTGCTCGTTCGTTCCATCCTTATTCGTTCTCGCCCTTGCGTCGTCGGCCCACCGCCGATCGGATCGGTCGCGTACGGCTGACATGATGGCTCGCCGTGATGCAGTTCAAGCCTGAGGAGATGACCAACATCATGAAGGACTTCGACGAGCCCGGGTTCCTGGCCCCGACCGGCCTCTTCCTCGGCCCCACCAAGTACATGGTCATCCAAGGCGAGCCCGGCGCCGTCATCCGCGGGAAGAAGGTACCGATCGCCGGATACATACTACACCGCCCTCTCGATTTCTCCCGCCGACGATGTCGATCATATCTCTGCCGATCTCGCTCCTGATCACAGGTATCTCTTTTCTTCTTTGGTTTCCAGGGATCTGGAGGCATAACCGTGAAGAAGACCGGGCAGGCGCTGGTGATCGGCATCTACGACGAGCCCATGACCCCCGGGCAGTGCAACATGGTGGTCGAGAGGCTCGGCGACTACCTCGTAGAGCAAGGCCTGTGAATGGATTGCTTCAACCCCGCCTGCCTGTCCACGGTTGGAGCATCCAGCAGCAACGATACGACCGCCAGCATTTAGTAGTCTCTATACGCACGCATTTTTTTGAGTCCCCACGCCCTGGGATTGTGCGTGGCTCCGTTAATTACCTCCGATCCTCCGTCCGGCATTTCTCTCCCCCGCCCGTTGCCGATCACCAGAGAATCTTTTTTGTTTCTTGTTTATAATTTGTTGGTGTCGTTTTGGCAAATAATTTTGTGATTTCACTCCCCAAATTTGGTTTTCGTATATGATTTGTAAACCCGGAACAATATGTGTGTGTGTGTGTGATTGAACTGCTCCTACAGTCCTACGGGAATATGTATGTATTTCGTGCAATCTCTTCCAGTTTTTCAAAGCATACGCAAAATATATGAAATGATGATCAGTTTTGCGTTTTTTGGGATCTTTCTAAACATAACTTCACCTTTCTTGTGTTTTGATTCGACTTTGTTATTTTTTATCAATATATATTATCGGATTGGTTCGAGAATTTGGGCTCAAACAGGTGCAGTTACTGGATTCAAAAGCCTGAAACCGGACATGTCCGTCCTGGGTCCAATAATGTTTGCTCTCCAACGTATTGCTGGCCGCTCCGGCCCACTAGCCCAGAAAACGCCAGCTCGCTAGGCCAATTGGCAAAACCCATGGAATCATAGGCCGTTCAACAAGTAGCTTAAAAAAAATGGAAGCATTTTGTTAGCTTTCTCCAACCGTTTCAAAATATCACTCCTAGGAGATAGAAATATTGCATCAGGAATTTTTCAAATACCCCACCACTTCTATAAAATTTATTTTTGTTTTGTACATTTGCATTGGAAATCTTGTCCTTACATCCAGATTGGCAAAGTGATTTTTTTCAATCTTGCTCAAAAATAGATTGGGAGTGGGTTTTGGAAACTCTTGGAGACGTTTAGTAAGTGCAGATAAAATACCACTTACTGGTCATTGAGTTTCACTCCTTGATGGAGGAGGTTTTTTATCCTTGATAATGGTGGAGGTTTTTTGGTGAGAAGCAGGGTGGGAAGCAGGTTAGAAGAGATTTTGGTGGTCACTGAACATAGAGCAGGTTTTTTACTCTCAACTCGTAGTTGTAGTGTGGAGAAGTTGTTCTTGTTAGCTTCCCACCATTAATACAATTGTATTTTAATAGTTTGGTAATACCAAACAGAACCAAATATTATTGATTTTGTCCATGACTGAAGTCTTGACAGTGCTCTCTACGGAATAATGTTCCAATGAAATTAACTGTCCTCTTTATTTCAGAGGGCATAGGGGCACTATTTATAGTGCTACAGTTACACTTGGCGGACCAAAACACCCCTACATAAGAGTTGGATCCCGAGTATATTCCTAACCCCATAGGGGGACCTTGGTCGTTTAAGTACAAACCCATACAGGAGTCCAAATCGATTTTTTTTTTGGATTTGACTTCCTAGAGTAGTGAATGTGTCCTCCTTGCTAATGCGCACATTCGGGATGTTGCACCTCCATGGACTCACCGAGACATGGTACCCCTTGCCCTGTGCCCAAAGTATTGTGGTTTGGGAATGCTTGAAGATGTCTTCCCATATGCCTTTCGGAAATGGATGGGCGGTGCGCCCTCAGTTGAACTCTGAAAGTCCTAGTTTGGTTTTGGATAATTGATAAAACATAGGGACTAATTCTTGTACTAAGTGTGTAGACATGAAAAGATGGTCCCATTCCAAGTGGTGGAGCAAGAGGATGATCATGGTGGATGGTGATGACCAAAAGATGATCAAGTGCTTCACATTTGGAAAAGAAGAAAAGAAAAATATAAAAATGGGCTCAAGGCAAAGGTATAATGATTGGAGCCATTTCTGGTTTGTACTCAAGACACCATAGAGGGTGTGAGTGACTTAGGATCGATAGTCGTACTATAAAGAGGGAAAATATTTGGCTAAGCGGTTATCGAGTGCCACTAGGTGACATTGTTCTTGCATATGCATTTGGAACCTAGTGTGCTAACTTTGACCCTTGTAAAATGCTCTGAAAAATGCTAACACACGAGTACACAAGTTTTACACTTTATGGTTAGCAAGTTGGAAGTAAGGGCGAAGTGGTCGTGCAAGTTGGATGCACGCGTCCGGTCAATTATAGCCATGGAAGCGGTGACTGGCCGAGAGCGAGGAGGTGTGACCGGACGTAGCGACCTGACGCTGGCCGTGCGCGTTGGTCATCGCGAACAGAGGAGGAGCAGTGCTTGGCGGCGATCGGACGTAGGAGGATTCATGCGATCGGACGCACAGGGGGCGCGTCAAGTCGATGATGACGTATGCTGGCGTCAGCACCTCGGGAGTGCGCAGCTGAGCAAAGTGAGGACCGGACGCTGGGGCGCGTCAGGTCGACATTGATCTGGCGCGTCCGATCATTGTTTTGTGGCTCTGGATGCTTATTGGACTTGACCGGACCCTGTGTGGTGCCGCGTCTGGTCGTTTCCATCATCGAGTCCGGTCATGACTTAACTCGCGAGCGCACAGTGACTCGACCGTTGGAGATGAGCGGCTGACATTGAACGGAGGGACGACGCGGCAGACATCGGGTGATTGGACTCACCCGACCGGACGTAGGGGCCGCGTCCGATCGCGGTGTCCAATCTTGCCTGCGCAGGGCCAACGACTCTTTCTCTAGAGGGGCTCTATTTAAAGGGTTTGGCCGGCTTGGGGCTCACTCTCTTGGCACTTTGACATACTTGACATCCTTATGAGCCTAGGCAAACACCTCTCACTCATCTCCATCATTGATTCATCATCATAGTGAGATTGAGAGTAATTCTAAGTGTATTTGCTTGAGTCATTGCATCTAGTGGCACTTGGGGATCGTTGTGGCTGTGGGTTTCTTGTTTCTCTTGGTGGTTGCCGCCACCTAGACGGCTTGGAGCAGCGGAGAAGCTTCGGCACGTGTTGGTGATTATTTGTGGCCGGCTCCGGTGATTGTGAGGGGTCTTGCACCTTCCCCGGTGAAGAGCTACAAGGTAGCTCTAGTAAATTGCTCTTGTCATTGAGTTACCTCACTTATGGGCAGGTTCTTGTGGTGTCCATTTGTTGGACGAGATTCGTGCAACACCTCTTAGCCGTCGAACCACCAAGTGTTGGTCAACACAACAGGGACTAGCGTACCGGCAAACACATGAACCTCGGGAGAAAAATCTTATGTCTCTTGTGTGATTGGATTTCTCTCGATGATTGTTTGTCTTCATATTGTGATTGGTTCATTCCTCGACACGGCGGTATAATCACCCTACTCACTCCTTTACATTTCTTGCAAACTAGTTGTCAAGCTCTTTAGTGTAGTTAGTCTTTGAGAGCTTGTTAGTTTGGTTAGTGTGGCTTTTAGTTAGTCTTTGAGAGCACACTAGTTTAGTGAGTAGTGACCTAGCTTGTTGTGTGCCTAGTGATCATATCAACTAGAATTGTTAGGATAGGTGGCTTACAACCCTTTTAAAGTTAGAGCAAAATTGTATTACGTCTTTTGTTGTTCTAATCAATTGCTCTAGTGCTTTATAAAGTTTTTTAAATAGGCTATTCACCTCTTCTAGCTATATTAGCACCTTTCACCCTCTTTGGATGTCGCTTCCGAAGATCAGTTTGTGCTTGAAAGCATCTAGGCCCTAGTTGGGTTTCGGTGATTAATGACAATACAAGATTACTATGACTAACGTGTGTTTTGCAGAGACAATTAAGTTAGATCATGGTAATGGAGATCGATTGGGCAATCATGGTGGTCATGCCCCTACGATGGAAATCGTTTCGGTTTTCAAAGGATGGACGACAAGGTTAAGGATGGACTAGTTCTAAGAGTCGATTGGAGTTGGAGAGACAGTTAGAGTAGTTTAGGACTTTGTTTTTTTCCTTTGGCTGTACTATTAAGGGGGTATGGACGGGTAGCTTGACCTAGGTGTGGTGCACATTTGTTAAAACTAGCACTAGGTAGCTCCAAAATAGCCCTTAGATCAAATGGAGCAAACTTCATTCACATATGATCGAGAGTTGGAAGTGAATGGAGGGTCAAATACTGACCGGACGCTGGTTCCGGGTTGACCGGACGCTAGCGCAGAGTCCGGTCAGTTCATTTGACCAAGGTGATTGCATCTGGCGCGACCGGACGCTGAGAGGTGAACTGACTGGACACTGAGAGCCAGCGTCCGGTCGACTCCAGTAAGGTTCCAAAGAGGGAAAATCACGACCGGACGCGTCCGGTCACACTTTGAACACTGGAGTTTGGGGTGTACTGACCGGAGGGTCCGGTCAACATGACCGGAGCGTCCGGTCACCCCGCAGAGGCACATAACGGTTCGTTTTTCAGCCCATGATATAAATACTCCCTCCACTCGTGTGTGGGGGTACTTTTGCTCATTCCAATAGCTGAGAAACACGTTTGAGAGTGCCAAGAAGAGCAAGGTCCTAGTGAGGTGATTGAGATTTGAGAATCCCAAAGAGAGCCCTCATTAGTGAGATCAAGAGTAGCAAAGTGTGCATCCACCCTTCTCATTAGGCTTGTCGTGGTCAAGTGAGAGTTCGTGTTTGTTACTCTTGGTGATCGCCATCACCTAGACGGCTTAGTGGTGATTGGGAGAGCTTGGTGATCATCCGGAGAGTTTGTGGATGACCCAACTCAAGTTGTGAGCGGTTGTGGGTGATTCACCGCGACGGAGTGTCGAAGAATCAACCCGTAGAGAGCACTTGATCCTTGTGCGGATCAAGGGGGAGCTACACCCTTGCGCGGGTGCTCCAATGAGGACTAGTGGGGAGTGACGACTCTCCGATACCTCGGCAAAACATTGCCGCGTTCCTCCTTCTCTATTTACTTTGAGCATTTACTTTGAGCAATTCAATTCTTGTTTTTACATTTATAGAATTGCCATGTTAGAGTAGGATTGGAACTTAGGTTGCAAGTCTTTTGTGTGGTAGAACAACTAGGAACACTTTATAGGCACAAGGGGTTAA